CGCCCTGTGGGTCTGCGAGTGCCGGCTGTGGCCGTGCCCAGAGTGGCCTGGGGGCGCTGCCCGGGCCAGAGTGCCTAGCCGGCGCCGAGCCACTTGCCGAGCTGCCGGGGTGCCAGGGGCCCCTGCCCTCCGTGGGCTGGGGTCGCCGCACGCCCAGACACACTCCCCTCCACCCCCTCTGCGGGGGGCGGGGTGCAGCAGACACTGCCCCAGCCGGGAGCAGGCGGGTGCCCAGGCGGGTGGTGCAGCCTCTCCCCACGCCCGGCCTCCCCGGCGCCTGCTCAGAGTGCTGCCCGCTGGGGCAGGTCCCCGGCAGCGGCTGGAGCCACCCAGCCTTGCTGTGCGCTGACAGGTGCGCCACGGCCCCCCAGCGCAGAGAAGGGCCGCCGTTCTGGGGGCACCAGGCTGCCGCCGCCGCTTTGGCCCAGGCCACTGCCCGACCGCGGGCTGACCTCACCCTGCCTCGTGCAGGGCTCCGGCCCCCGGCAGCGCCCCCCCCCCCCAGCCACTACGTGCGGGCGTCTGCTCAGTCAGCCCATCCGCAGACCCCCCATCCGCCCCGAGTGGGGCCGAGGGCAGGGAGGGGGCACTGTGGCCCGCCGACCCCCGCTGGGGTCTGGGCAGGAGGCCGGCGGGGCACTGCAGCCAGATCGGCGACACCAAGCTCGGGCGCACCCGCGCTGGCTGGCGCCGGAGCAGCCCAGACCCAGGCCCGGGCCTCGCCGCCGGTCATTGGTTCGAGTCTGCCCAGAGCCCGCTTGGGGGGCGCGTGGCCCGCACCCAGCACGAAGCCAGTCCCGGGGTCCTCAGAGATGCTTTATTGAGGGCTGCTGGCCGAGGGCGGGCAGGGCGGGCGTCCGGCGACCGCTGTCCACGCTGCGTTCTTCCCGAGGGCGGCGGGCGGGTGGCCCCTCTGAGGCCTGGGCAGGCCCTGGCCACCCCTGGGGTCCTGGCCTCCACTCGTGTCCGGGCAGCGTGGCGGGACATGGGGTCAGCAGGGCAGTGACCGGCCTCAGACGAAAGTCGCGTGGTGCTGGCTGGCCGTGGGCTTGCTGGGCCTGGCCGCACTGGGGCTAAGGCCGGGGGGCTCCGACGGGGGAGGCCTGCTGGCCCGTGCCCTCCAGGGTCCTGTCCACACCCCCGGCCCTGGCGCAGAGCCAGCGACGCAGTCCACGTCGATGATGGCGTTGGCCGGGAGGCCTCGGCTGCCACGGGCCCCGCCGCCTGTCACAGGAGGAGAGAGACGGTCACTCGTGTCCCCACCCTGGACGCTGTGGCCCCGCAGGCGCCTGGGGCTGCCGCCACCCCGGCACCTCTCCCAGTCGTGGACAACTTCCAGAAACACCAAGGCACCCCAGAGCACCCCACCATTGGAGGGCGTGAAAAGGGGCAGCGCCTGAGCACTCCAAGCCATGCCCCCAACTCTGCCGGGCCGGCCCCAGCCCCCCGCCGCCCGGGGCGTGGGCATCCGGAAGGGGCCCCTGTGCCCGCCCACCGGCCGGGTCCACGTCAAAGGGCAAGGCGGGGCCCGGCCTCCAGGCCCCGGGGTGCCTCTGGAGAGCCGCCCTCCGCTGCCCCCCACGCTCGACACAGGGCAGCGGCCGCCTGCAGCTCCCCAGGGCCGCCTGACCTGGCCCCGCCCCACCTGGGCTAGAGGGGCGCCCCCTTCCTCCTGGGGCTCCTGCAAGGCTGTGCCAGGCCGACGGCCGTGCTGGCCCAGTGGTGCAGCGTCGGGGGA